AAAAAAAAAAAAAAAAAAAAAAAATGCAGGAATACCTACAGTTTACTGATATGGTCAGGCTTAACAATCTCATTTTTTTGTGTTTGTTTGTTTCGTTTTTTACAGATTTTACATACATTTCAATGAATTGAACAAAAACTACAAGGTGTAGGGAAAACAGCAGAAAAGAATGTTTTGTGATACCAAAACATTTAAGAAAACTATAGGTTTTTGAAGAGACATTGAAAATAGGCAGCTGAAATACTTTCCAAATCTAAAAATGAATTTAGAAAATTCTACAACATTTGCAGATGATCCCTATAAGCCATCAGGAAATCTACATGGAATTTTCTAGCATTGTAGCAGCTGCAAAGGAGAATTTTAGTAACAGATTTTTACAGTTTTATAAGATGGAGACAGCCTGTTTTCTTCTGCAGATAAAGCCAAATTTGAAGAACTTGATCTTTCCTGCTCACATTGGTTAGATTTTGGCAATCTGGAAATGGAGCTATTAGAATTTTAAGAAAGCTCTACCTGGAAAAATAAGTTCTATGATCTGCATTAACACTTGAAAAGACAGAGTGTGAAGGGATGACAAGGGACAGCACGACTGGTAGTTCTGAAAAGGAAATTGTGAAAATGTTGAATTCTCTGCCAATTTTAAGTCAATAAAAACCCTTGGGATTGCTTTTTCTTACTGTTAAGATTATCATATGCTTGTGAGCAGCTGTTTTCAGCATTGAATTATATCAAATCTGATATAAGAAACAGACTAACAAATGACCTAAGTGCTGCACGTGTTGCTCTCAAACTAAGTGTGAGCCAAGGTTTGACAAATTATCAGCACGCACAAAATAGCAAAGACATTAGTTGTGCAAAAGCACACCAAATGCAAACTTCTGTTTTTCAATAAAAAGCTGTTTGTGTCACTGAAGGTTGTTATTGTTTTTTAAGACAAAAGATGTTACATGTTTGATCTGTTTTTTCTTTTCTTTTTTCTGGGATGAGTTGTTTTTTCTTAACTGAAACCTCAGTATTCAGATTTAATTGCAATGTTGGCAAATAAGTGGGTTTTGAGTTGCAGTTTGGGCACTTGGTCTCTAAAAGGTTCACCATCACTGGTATAGAGGGTAATAAATTCAAAAGTCAGATGATTTCAGATTGGCTGTAGGCAAATAGTCATTAATAGCTCCTGAAGGCTATTAACACAACTAGTTCAGACAAAGTTTACAAAAATGTAGTTCTAGGGATGTAAATTGTGTTGACCTGGGACTTAATTTTGAGGTACTAGGGGTGTGCAGTGTTCACCAGTTGGAAATTTAGGACTGGATCTTGAAAGACTGCTTTGGTAGAAGACAGGCTAAAGACACATATACATGTCAGTGGCATTACCCTTACATAAATTAAAACAAAATGCATCCCTAACCTCAAAGTTAGTGCCAAATTTTATTTTTAAAATGGAAATACTAACAAGCTCCCACAAAACTTAAGTTTGAGAATAACTGCCAACTCAGCAACATTCTGCCTTTTTGTGTCCCTGTCCAATGGTATTTTCACTGCTAGTGGCCAGTGGGATCAGTGGCAGGTTTCATCCCAAAGCCCAACAATTGGCTCTTGGGCCAGCACTTCCCAGCCACCTCACTACCAATCTCAGCTTCAGTTTTATCTTCTGTAAAGTAACCTTTAATTGTTTTATAGCAATTTATGGATCAAATGTATGTGAAAGTGCTGTACAAACATGAGAGGCTAGTAGCACAAGTGGGTATTCACCTAGTGCATTGCCACGCAGGATAGAAAGGAACAGCTATCTGGTGTGTAGTCTCCATTGTAAGAAAGAGCAGCGTAGGCAGGCATCTCTCTACTGCCCACCCTGCCTGTCACACTGTATTGCACCAGCTCATCAAAGATTGCGGACATATTAAACTGACCTAGGGATTTTGCTTAGGGACCCTGGAACTGAAGGAAAGCCTAGCTTCTTTTCTCAAGCCAGTGTCTCCTGGTTGCTATGAATACCTGTGGGCTTTGCTTTTATAGGTTGTACAAGTTACTAGAGTTCTGCAACAAGCACATATATCACAGCCAAATTCCACGTGAAAAACATTTGTTTGCAGAAGGATCAAGAGCCAGAAAAAATCACTTCCAAGCATGATCTGAGAAAACTAGACTCTACAATTATGGATCCTTTATCACCATTTTTTATCATTCCCTTTTGCTGTAGTATTGGGGGTTGAGCCCAGGGCCTTGTACCTGTTAGGCAAGTGTTCTATTACGTAACTCTACTGAGCTACATCTTCAGCCCTTTCAAAAAATTTTGAGACAGGTTCTCATCAGGTTGCCCTGGCTGGTCTAACTTGGGATCTTAAGACCACTAAGTAGCTGGGATTAGAGCCATGTGCCCCTGTGCCAGGCCCCGTCAGCTATTCTTATAGCTGCCGCACGAAGAACCTGCATCTTCTAAAAGAATGACAGTGGTTTCATGGAGTGCCTTCTTTATCTTGTTTAAGTATGTAGGGACAGAATGCTCCTGCCAGATGACCACATGCCAAAGATCACCCTGTTTGATCAAGGAACCCCCACTGCCAGGCGTTAAGGGGTTGGGCTTCTTAACCTTCAACTTATTGTCCTTTTTTTGAAAGCCATATTGAAGTCACTGCACGTGAGAAAGCAATGCCTATGGTCACACAATGAGATTACCGTGCAGATTCCAAACCAATTCTAAATCACAGTCCAGGATAGTGAGTCCAGAATTTACAATTAGAAAATATGGACTCATGTCCCAATCTATTGATAAATAGTGGTGTTTGTGTGATAACCTGAAAGTTCGTTTTCTCTTTACAACTCCCTCAAAGGTCTGTGGATTAGATGAGAATGAACACTTTAGAGATTGTTGCAGTACAAAGTTTTTTCTCTGAATGCTTTTTATCACGAGCTACACTTTATTGTGTAGGAGAAATAGAAGCCTCTGCTTCTGGTTGGACAGGGCTAGTTATGAAAGACACCTTAACAGTCAGATGGTACAATTTCCATCTGAGGATCCCAAAGACTGGTGAATACTATTCATGGAGCCAAAGGCTGACTTCAATTACTTTCCAGGGCACCAGCTGACATAACTGTAATAACATATTTATGAGAGGTTAGAACACTAGTTAACAATTTTAAAAACCAGCTCTCTGTACCCCTTCCTGTTTCCAGGCCTTCGCATGTGCTGTGCCCCCAAAGCCTGCTCACTCTGCTTTTCACCGAGCTCTTTCTGCACCATCCTGTAAACCTCATCTGAAATGCCATCTTTCTACAAGGACACCTGCCTTGATCCTCGACAAAGTCTCACTCCTTTGTATCACTTAATTCAGTCCTGATTATAACTCTCCCACTCCACAAGGGCACGATCCCTTTCTGTATTTTTTTTGTACCTCTGGAACTGCTGATAAAGAATACAATGTGCTGAATAAGCGAATGAAGACAGCTTTGTGATCCTCAATTTTGTTAAATGAGCTCTGGTAGCAATGAATATAAAATACACAATGAAAGCTAATACAGTGTCCGCAGAAAGGGTTCTGGATAAAGGAATGCTTCCTTTGGCAATTTGCTCCAACAAAAAGAATTTATGGGCTTAATTAAATCATCAAGATCTTCAGAGGCACAAAAATGGCCAAGGACAAGGTGTGTTCTGAATTATTCAGTGTATTCAAGTGGAGGTGCTCTTCTCAGAAGAGCAGTCGACACCAGTATCAACACGGTAGTCAGCATGAGTGGCAAGCAGACAGTTGTCCTGTCTTTGTCTTTGTCAGGGCCTAACAGACAGTTTCCAAGGTCTTTAGGAATACAACCTAACAGGCAAAAATCACAAAGAAGGTAAAGATTCCTTATTCTAACCTCATTTGTTCCTTGATTGTTTGTTGATCTGTACTCCTACGTTAGGGTAACTTTAAATCCGTGTTTAGCCCATGCAAGAGAAGACATCACTTTGATCTTATCTAAACTGTGGGAAAGATGTTGTCCCATAAATAAGATTTCAGACAACAGCTACCAAGTCGTGTGTGTATTTATGTGTGGGAACATGTGTGGGAAACAGGCCCTCTTGTTTCCCTCTAGAATCACACTTGCTTACTGGTCTTAACCTGGCCCCACGTAGTCAACTGTTGGTGAATTTTGGCTGCAAGAAATAGGGTCTAACAAACAAGAAACAGGGCCTAACTTTTATAAAATGCATTATCACTTTGAGGGAACATCCTCAAGTAAATGTCAACATCTATATCAATAAATGTTGTATAAAAAACTAAGAATCAAGAGAGATCTGGTATCTTGTGGCTATGAAGTGCTGGTTTCGCCAGATCTGGCCCCAGATACACAAGAGCCAGAGTGTTTATTTGTTAGACAGATGGTCAAGTTAGCATTTCCTCAACACCTCTATCACAACTTCACTTTGATCTCAAATTTCACTGGGTTGTTCATATTAGGGAGAATTTGAGGATCTCTGGCTTTAGGTATCCTTTCTTTTATTATCCTTTCATTATTTGTTAGTCATTCTGGGTTTTGATAATTCATGAAGACTGTGGGTTTCATTTCTTCTCTGTAAACAAAGAGTCAACCCATGAGGTTGTTAAACAAAATCTATTCAGTAGCTAGAAAAGTGAATTTCCTGTGGAATGACAGAAATTACATAGAAGCAAGCAATTTTATTTTCCTCAAATGTAGCAATAATTTTAATCTGTACATATACATAAAACAAACAGTGCAATTATAAAACCTTGAAGGTGACATGCATATTTTAAGGTGCAGCTGGGACAGGGGAGGATGTTAGCATCTCCAATTTTCCTTACCAATTTTCTCTTTAGTTCTTTATGCAAAAGCACTGAGTCAGGAAACTTCATCTGGAATGCTGAAGTTAAAGGTGAACTTCCTGAAGTCTGCAGGTCTAAATATCACAAACAAAATGGAAATGACCTCCTAGAGCAGTTCTGTAGGGACTAGAGTAATATGGCTGGGCTTTCAAGCTGGAAATGAATGAAATCAGGGATGCATTTTTTTTTTTTTTTTTTTTTAAACTAAGAGAGAATGTTTATAACTGAGTGTCCTATTTCTCTGTCATAGTTGCTACCCATGTGAGCCCTTCCACCAATTTTTCTATTCGGTGTAGTTTCTGAATAGATGCTGTTCAGTGGAGTTATCTGTAACTAGGGGTGGTGAGATGCAGAAAGAAGGACCTGGGGAAATGGCTTCTTCCTTGAAGTCTGAGTCCATGTTCCTTGTCCACATTGGTTCTCATGGCCTTTTCTCTGCTGTGCAAGCAGAGGTAGCTGGTGCAGAAGGTCAGTGTTGTCATCGTTTACAGGCCCAGGGATGCAGAAAAAGGTGAGTGGCAGGGATTTACCTTTGCTTCTTCTATAGTGCCTTTCTCAAGCTTTCCTGGCCTGCAGTGGAACGTCTAGAACTAGAAAGTCAGTTTGCTGGCTCTTTTCTCAGAGGCCAGGATGAGATGGGATGTGCCAGAGTGATAAGACATAAAGGGAAAACATGATACCAATTAGCCTCAGAGCAGGATAGAGAAATTTATATTTGCGCTGATGGAAATTCAAATTCCCAAAGTCAATCTAAGAAAAGAAGCAGATTTTCCTTGAGCACTAATTTCCCTCTGTACAAGCAGCCCGCGAACTTCTGGTCGGGTGAGCACAGACACTCTGGGGCAGCACGCTGCAGCTCAGCTGGAATGGCTCTTTCTGGCAGTGCCACTCTGGCATGAACCCCAAAGTAAATCCACACATGGTGTCACAGTTACTAATAATGAAATATTACTAGCCAAATGGAACTGCAATTCAACCAATGTTAAATTTCACACACAAATTTAGAAAAATCAAGTGTGATAATAAAAACATCAAATTAAACAGAAGAAAATCAATTTCTACAAGAAATCAAATGTATTTACAGTAAGATTAAGGGAAAAATAAGCTACTTGGATCATAAATTTAATTTTATTTTAAATAACTTTAGCTACCTCACCTGTTAATACAATAAAAGCAGAAAGAATAGCTGTCTTCCCTCCCCTCAAGATTCAATCAGAAAATTTTATCTACAATAATTGACAGAACTCACTTCTTGTCCTTCACCCATCTCATCAAAAATTATTGCATTTTCCCCCAAACTGATTTTTTTTTGGATTCCTTTATGAATATACTCATTTCTTCCTCTCTCCTGGAGGCATCTTGGTTTAAATCCATCTTTTCAAAAAGGAGAAGGGGTGCATATGTGGAGGCAAAATAGTCTCTTGAAGCCAACAGATACAGAATTGCTTGAAGAGGCTGATTGTACACACAAGCTCCTGGGGCTGGGCCCAGAGGGCTACTGGGTTTCGAGGAACGTGACAGCCTTTGGTGGACGACACAAAGCCCCGCAGGGCCCTCCTTCCTGGGCAGGGTCAGGACTGAGCCGGCAAGGCAGAGTTTCGTCTTCCCCTTAGAACTCGCCATTTTGGTTCTCCTCCAAAAGCCTTCATCCAGATAAGAAGCCAATAACTGATTACAAAAATAAGAATAATTAAATTTGGCGCTCAAGAAACAGATTGTCCAACTGTTCTGCCTTGTCATTTTTTTCCCCAATATCCAAGGCTTTTACAAAGAAAGAAACAAAAACATCTTTCAATCTCCCAACAAAAGTGAACTTTTTTTTTGTTTTTGTTTTTTGCTCCAAATGCTACGACCTGAAGAATGGCTGCAGAATGAGATATCAAAAATCTCAGAAAAATATATAATATATTTGTATATCTCTGTATGTCTATTATTTAAATTTCACATTCCTTTAAAAGTGGTTATTCAGTCAGTAGCTGCTGAAGGAGGCTCTTCTGCTGGGCCTGGGGGGTCTGTGGTCCTGGCGTGGGTTTTTGAGATCCCAGTGGACCAGGCTGGTTCAGGTAAGGGTCCCCGCCTACAAGATTCACTGTACACTGGACGTCGGCAAACACCTGAACCTGTTGCACCTGCTGGAACACAAATAAAAGATGTGTTTAGACAGAAGGGTCTGCCCCCCCGGCTTATGAGTGGGTACTACTTGAAGTGGAAACTCACTAGAGCATTCCTCTAGTCTGTAGTCACCACAGAGAAGAACTCTTCTGTCTTCTTGTCCTACAAAAAGAAAATCGCTGCACTCATTTTGCTCAGGGTTCTGGAAAGTTCACACTTTAAAAATAAAATCAAAATTGGAATGGTCAAGCCTCCTACAGGGTTGCCATCAATACTGAAAGTTGAGCGTCACTGCTAATATTGCCAAGGTTTGGAAAAACCAGTTTCACAGTCTGGGTATCCAGTGTTGGGTTTTAAAAAATAACATGCTAGTTGGAAAATTAGTTTAAAATAGCATTCTACAGATGACTTTAGTTAGGAGAAAAAGTCTTTATGATGTCATTGAGAAATTAAGGACTGTAACCCAGTAATATCAAAATAAAATGACCACAACTCAGTAGTAGGACATCAGCATTACTAAGGTTAATGTCCAGAAGTTTTAGATAGTATCTACATATATTATCACATCACTCCTTCACATACTGGCTTTAGAATTACAGCAAAATATCAATAAAACAATGGTATATTTAACTTTGTTCCAGCTAGATATCCGCTTAAACACTTGAGCTAAAAATAACAGTAAATCTATTAGCTGAAAACAGTGTGAATTTTCCCTTTACTTTCAGTAGGATTACATGTATTCCTGAAAGATGTCTAAAGATGCACAGTTCTAACATTTTCTATTGGGAAAACAAAGTCAGAAGTTAGTCTTTACCAACCAGTCTTTTTATAGAATTAAGGCCAACATCACACTTTTAAATATTCCAGACCACAAAAGGAAATGCCTTCCTAAGGCATCTGCATCTAAATGTCTCAAACTTTTCGGACACTTGTGCCTCATGTTCAATAGGATCATGAAGTACTTTAGATTAGTGATTGTTCTGAATTCATCACTAATGCATACCAATTACATGCAACTTTTCTGAAAACTCTTCTATCCTAAATAGAACAAAAATTGTTTTCTCGAGGCATAGTGGCACAAGCCCGTAATCCCAGCACTTGGAAGGGTGAGGCAGGAGGATTGCTGTGGGTTTGGGGCTAGCTTGGGCTACAAAGTAAGTTAAAGGCCAGCCTGCACTGCATAGTGAGACCCTGTCTCAAAAAGATCAAAAAGAAAAAAGAAAAAAAGAACAAAAGAAAAAAAGGTGTTTTGTATTAACTCTTTTTGGCCAAATCTTAAATGTCTTTTTTTGTTGTTTTGTTTTTTGTTTCTTTTTTGAGACAAAGTCTTGCTATGCAGTTCAGACTGACCTTGAACTCTCTATGTAGCCCAGGCTGGCCTCCAACTCATGGTGATCCTCCTGCCTCAGCCTCCTGAGTACTGGGGTTACAGGTGTGTGCCGCCATGCCTGGCTAGCACATGGTCTGTTATATAATGCATTTATATTTCAAGGCTACTCCCTGACAGTTAAGGGAGACAGCCCCTGGGCTCAATTTCTTAGTGCCTCATTAGACTGGCATCGTTTTTCTCCTCATCTTCTTCTTTACTTAGTTTCCGGATTTTGCTTCTTGCTTCCACCTGCTCCCATTTGTTTTCCTCTTCCTTGGTCTGCCTCTCTCTCTCTCTCTCTCTCTCTCTCTCTCTCTCTCTCTCTTGTGTGTGTGTGTGTGTGTGTGTGTGTGTGTGTGTAAAGCAGGCTGATTCTCCAAGTCCGTGCTCCCACAGCCTCTGTGCCCGCCCCACGCTGTGCTCTGTTGCTCTTTCCTTCAGAGCTCACCAGGGCCCACCTCTCACCCCAGTCCATAACCCTCTGCCAGGCCCTCCTCTTGCTTCTTTCTTCTGCATTCTTTTCCTCTTCTTTCTTCCATCGGGCTCCTCCCTACCCCTCCATCCTCACTTTCCAACACAGCTGCCCCTCTTCCAGTCCTCCCCTCCTCGTTTTTTTCTTCTCTTTATCTGGATATCTGTCTCTATATTTCTATCTAATGTATCCCCAGCTTCTGTTTGGCAAATATAAAAACACAGGAGCAAATAGCGATGTCACGATGGGCTATAACAGAAAGAAGATTCTGCCCCCTGAAACTTCACATGAGCATAAGCCACAGTGCTTTTGGGGGCACTCCCACCCTCTAGTGCTGGGGATCGAACTTAGGGCCTCATGCATGCTAGGCAGGACTCTAATACTGAGCTATATCTCCAGCTCTAGGCACTGACTTTTAAATCCATACAGTACATATGAAGTTCCATGTTTACATATTTCTAAATATGAAATATTAGGGCAGAGCCTGAGGTGATTTTGTTCACAAATATTTAAAATCATTCTCGATAAAGAAAGGTATGATAAAACAAACTAGAGAGTGAATTCTACATCTTTAAATAAAATTTTAAATAGTCTATTTTTGAAGTTAAAAAACATGAGAAGACTAAATCGAACTCTCAAACACATTTCAGCCTGTTTTTCTGAGACAGAGTTTCCCTTTATAGCTCAGGCTGGCCTGGAACTCGCAGCGATTCTCCTGCCTCAGCCTCCTGAGTTCTGCGATTACAGGTGGTGCACGGCATTTCAGCCATTTTGAATTGTTTACCTGTAGACTAGACTCCAGACTTGTTATGCTGCCACACTCTCATAGATGGGCGAAGCTTGATATGAAAGGTTTAAGATCCACCAGGGGAGGAGCACAGGTGAGAACTAAGCACTAGCCTCTGAAGATTTTCCAGCATAGCTTTTACTTCCATTCAAATATTGTCTTAGACCTCCAGAACTTTAACAGTTGGTTGTTTCTTGCTGTAAGTGACTTGTAGTGCTGCCTAGCTCATGTCTTCATGAGTGTGAGACAGACTGTCTGTGCTACGCCATCACAAAACGTTCTCTTGACCCCATGAAACTTATGTGCCATTTCCTAAAGCTCAGACTCTGGACACAGCTTCCTAACCTACTTCCTCCTTTGGAACCAGCTGCCCTGTGAGTCCTTCTTCACTGCCTCTATCCTGAGACAATGTGTGAACCAGCGTCTCCCTGGGATGGCTCTGCTGTAGGATTAAATCCGGATCCCTTAGTTTAACATCCAGTCTGGGAATTCACTTCCATCTACTGTAGCAATTTCACCTTCAGTGAATTTGGTGCCCCAGACTATGCTAAGATACTATCATTTCCCTGTCTCTACGCCTTCTGCTTCCAAATCCATTCTTACCTGACCTCCAATCACCACACCTTTCTCCTTCACTTGAACTCTGCTTCAAGGCTCAATTCAGTCCATTTCCTGTGTAAATACTCTCTGAGTAGTTCAGCAATTTGAGTTTGCCCTCTTAGGCTATGTGCACATATCTACATGTTCATATTGCTACAGGCCCTATGTAGCATGGCAGCAATAGCAAGGATTTCGGGGTTAGTAAAAACCGAGTCTGAATCTCAGCTCCTCTTCTTTCTAGCTTTGTGAATGGTGCATGCAATTAAACTTCCTCGGGTTCAGTTTCTTTATCTGTTATGAAAAAGGGTACTACCTCCTTCATAGGTTACAGTCAAGCTGAAAGAAGATAAAGCATACAATGCCTAGCACAGTGCCTGGAAAATCATATATTTCACAATGAAAGTTTTTTTTTCTTCTCCCCACAGTTCACCCAAAGGTCAAGAAAGGTAAGTGTATTTCTATCTCCTTTGTAGCATAATGCCTGTGTTAAAAATATTTTTAAGAGACTAAAGACTAAACCAAAGAGATAAAAGTGAATTACCCCTTGCCCCCAATTTCTAAGTTTAGGTTAACAGAGGACAGTGGTCACTTTGCTATTTGCGCTGCTCAAAAACATACTTCTAAAGAGGCAGAGTACATAGCAGACACTCTTAGTATGAATTTACTGAGATTTTGTTTGAGGTGTTTTGACTAAAATGAGTTTTAGCCTATTTATTTATAAAATAACAATTAGTGGCCACTTTGGTGATTCTATTATCCTTGCTGAGCACTGAGGTAAATCTTCTGGAAGCTCATCTCATTGCATTCTCTCAACAGTCCTGTAAGCAGACATCTTATTAGTTCTGTGCTCATACAGCAACTCAGAAGTTCGGAGCTAAGCTCACAATGACATAGCTAAGAAGAGACTGTACACGAAGATCTGATCCCTCACGGTCAAGCTCTTGATCACAAAGCTACAAAAGCCCACCATAGGGCTGTATCTGACAGCTCCGGACTTAGAAGTTTCTTACTGACCTGGGTTCCGTCTGCTTCTGTTTTGAGAAGGTCAGTGGATGACAGCTGGTTGCAGTAGAGGCCTGTGTGTCTCAGTGCTGGGTCATTTATCTATGAAAAGTGAACAGGAGACCAAATTACAAGTTAGTTATTTAAGGTGAAGAACAAACTCTTCAATGAAAAACAGTGTAACTGACAGTAAAGTAATAGGAGGGCAGGAAAAACAAAAAGCTCGGCAATTTACTACATTGATGTAAATCCCCAGGTCCCCCTGTGAGTGTGGAGAGTGTACAGGGAACATAGGGAGAACTTCCGGGCAGCTGGTGACATTGTTTCTTAATCTGGATGGTGGTTATTCAGGTGTATTCAGTTTGTGAAAATTCACTGAGGTGTATACTCTTTGGATATTCTTATACATGATACTTTAGTAAAAAGTTGATCCTCCCCAAGAGTTAATTAACGAAAGACTGCTACTTCAGTTAAGATTCAGTAATAGGGGTCATACTAGTCTGGATTCACTTAAAAATGGACAAAATATATGAAACAAAGGCACTCCAGAAACTGGACAAAGGTGGTAAGGGACACTGATTCCTAAGAGTTGGGAAATAATTGAGGAGTCCCTGCTGTAGCAAACTCCCAGTCCACACAGGCTGGCAATCTTGCACTCAGAATATCAGAGTAGACAGAAGCTCCAAGTGCAAGTGCTGGAGATGTGCAGAGACCCTCTACCCCAGTACTGATCAGCTCACAGTGCAGGAAAGTGTCACTTGAACAGACAAATGGAATAATTCTCAAAGACCACGTTGGACTAGGACTAGGTCTTAGGCCCAATAGTGTCACAACTCATACAGTATCAGGTAGGGTACTAGAATGATTCTGCCTCAGTAGCAAAGCAAAGTTAGCCCTAGAATAAATATTGCTTCTGTCTCACCAAACAAAAAGCAAGACTTGAAAGCATTAAATTGTCTCCAAGTAACCTAACCATTTCCCAGAAGAAGAGTCAGGAATACTTCTAGTTAAAAAAAAAAAAAAGGTCAATGTCACAGGTCTGGCATCCAATAACAATTACCAGGTATATAAGGAAGAGAAAAATATGATCTATAATGTAAAAGAAAATCAATTAAATTCAACCCCCAAATGATTCAAATGGTAGAAGTGATAAATAAGGCTATCGAGCCTATCATAATCACAACAGCTCAATCCCCGCACCAAAGACTCAGCAGAGCAACTTCCAGGGGTCTCCTGCCTGAACAACTGGAGCCTCTGAAGGAGGCAGAACACAGTGTCTGAGGAGTAACTGCCAACACTTCCAAACTGAATGAACATTATATACCCACGAATCTAGGAGCTTAGTGAACTCCAAGAACAAAGAAAATCACACCAGAGTATATTATAATCAAACTGTTTAAAACAAATTATAAAGAAAAAAATTTAAAATCACCCAGAGAGGAGGAAAAAAATCAACCACGTACACAGCAACAAGGAAAAAATGACAGCAGGTATCTCATCAGAATGCTGCAATAGAAGATCTTTAAAATACTGAGAACTAAAATTGCCAACCTAGAATTCAGGGGAAAGAACAAACGAAAACTGAAAGTCATCATCACATCTACACTATAAAGAACATCAAAGGAGCCAGGCACAGTGGTGCACTCCTGGAATCCCAGCACTCTGGGAGATTCAGGCAAGAGGATAGCAGGGTCAGATCCAGCCTTGGCAACTTAGTGACTTAGTGAGACTCTGTCTCAAAATACACAAAAGGGGCGGGGGGCTGGGGATGCAGTTTAGTGAGAAGGCTCTGTATTCAACCCCCAGTTCTAAAAAGGGGACAGGGGGAGGAAAGCCTTCAGGCAGAAGGAAAATGATACGAGATAGAAATCTGAAAACATACAAAGAAATAAAGAAAACTGGAAGTAATAACTACATGGGGACTGCAAACCATCCCCTAAACCAAAACCAACCAACCAAACTATCGAGCAGGGCAATGCATGCCTGCAATCCCAGAACGCTGGGAGGCTTAGGTAAGAGTATCACAAGTTCGAGCCCAGCCTGGGTAATGCAGCAAGACCCTGTCTCAAAATAAATTTGGGGACAGATCAATGTGAAGACACTGGGTTCAATCCCTGGTTCCAAAAACAAAACAAAACAACAATAAAAAATGATTTCTACACAAAAGTAATTAGTGTTTATATATTTTGAAGATTTGATATAAATTATGGCTGTATAGCAATAGCCTGGTCACCACAGTCTGTTTTATGGTTGCTGATCTGTATAATAATAGCAACTATAGGGAGTTACTGCAATAATCTTCTTAAACATTACTTTGAATTTCATCATTCTTAAAATCTGCAGGAGGCTCCAAGGTAACTCTAAATACTTAGGTGGCATGCAACATCCCCTAACATCTTGTCACACAAATTCCACTCTAAACATGATATAAATAACCCTTTAACATTCTTTAGGCTTTTCGACCTGTATTTCTGTCTAGCTTATCCTGTGATAACCAATCTCGAATGTGTTTTTCTCGAATGTCTCTCTTTCTCTCCTCTGTCTGTCTGTCTGTCTTTCTTCATCTTGTGGTACTGGGGATTGAATCTCTGCACCTTCACAATGAAATGAACTATAACCCCATCCTTTTTATTTATTTTAAAATTTTGACAGTGTCTCACTTAAGTTGCCCAGGCTGGCTTCAAATTTGTGATCTTTTTGCCTCAGCTTCTTTTTTTTTTTTTTTTGGTTTTTCTCCGGTACCAGGAACCGAACTCACGACCTTGCGCTTGCTAGGCAAGCGCTTTTGCCACTGAGCTAAATCCCCAGCCCCTTGCCTCAGCTTCTTAAACTGCTGGGATTACAGTGTGTTCCATCATACCTGGCTTTTAGTTCTCTTTTTGAAGGCAACTTTTCCATGACGCTTTTCCTGACCAGGCCCTTTGCTTTTAATTACTCAGTAGTCAACTGTATATACCTTTCCTTTGACATAAAGATGCATGGTCCTATGGGAGTTTACTTCTTACACAATTATTTTGTTCTATTATCAATCCACTGTTCATGTTGTGTTTCCTCAACATGTTACTAGGTATGTTCCACAGAGCTATCTTTGTAGATAGCAAGTAATGAATAAATACTTGTTAAATTAAAAGAGAAATGAAGAAAATGCGCTAATATTCAAGCCATTGTGCATAACATTTTATAGCACATCAAAAATGCTAAAATTTCATGAGACTAAAAATTTTATTTAGCAGGGAATATAGCTCAGTGGCACACTGCCTGCCTGGCAAACATGAGATCCTGAGTTTGATTCCTGGCACAAAAAACAAAAACCAAAAACCAAAAAGCCAAAAAAACCTAAAACTTATTTATAAAGTCTGCCAAAATTTCCACTGTATATATCTTGGGCCATCAATTTGCAAAAGACAGTGGGAACGAACAGAGAAGCACAGTTATTCCTGGTGAATAATTGACAACATACAGAACTTTCCTCGAGACAGTGACAGTGGTGTGTGAGTGCTGTGTGGCAAGCACGCAGCTGTGCCACTCACCTGCTCAGGGCACACAGTGTTCATTCCTGGCATCTGCAAAGAGCTCATCTGCATCTGGCCCATCATTGGGTTCATGTTCTGAACATTTGTGTTTCCACCTGCCATCGACACGGTGATGCTCATATTGTTGTACACTCCTGGTGGTGCGGGTGTGGGCTGGTTCTGGACAGCTTGACTGAACACACTGTTAACTCAAAAACAATGCTGATTACATTCACTGGTCATGGATACTGTGACTGGACTCTCTTTTAAATTAATACAGTGCCAAGTGAAATATTATACATTCTTAAGTTACATGTAAAACTGTATTTCATTATAATATACCAGGACTAAATATAATTCAGATACATTTTGAGCCAGGTGTGGTGGCACATGCCTGTAATCCCAGAAATTGGAAGGCTGAGACAGGACGATCACCTTGAGTTCAAGGCCAGCCTGTGCTACACAGTGAGTTCAAGGCCAGGCTGAACTACGCAGTGAGACCCTATCTCAAAAAGACAAAAACAAAACAAAAACAAAAAAGATACATTTGAACTCTGCCCAGTGGGTTTAAATCTGAAAAGAGCTCATTTTAAGTTACAATTATCTCCTTAGGCCCGTATATAGGTAGCCTCATGTCTTTTCTAGGAAGCAAAATACAAAGGCAATTATGATTTTTTTCATTTGTTTTTTTTTTTTTTTGTATATTGAAAGAGTCTCACTATGTAGTTCAGGCTGACCTTGAACTCACTATGTACCTAGGCTGGCCTCAAGCTCATGGCAATCCTCCTGTTTCAGCTTCCCAAGTGCTGGGATTACAGACAAGTGCCATCATGCCCAGCCTCAAATATTAAATCAATGTGTATTAGTAGGTAGAATAGTATGGAACATATTTAAACTAGTTCAACTTGCAATTTTGTATTTGAACCCTGAAAATTCTCAGGATACAAATATATACACCTAGAGGAAAATGATATGAATTTTATCCTTCATAAGATCTTATGAAACAATACCTAAGCTATGATTATAAAGCAACTGTTAATTCTGGAGATTTTGATTCCAAAAATGATTTTCCTCATCATGGCTTGTTTATTCCTTGTTAGCTCTCAAATGGTAAACAGGATGTACTGACATTTACAGCTGCCAGTACATTAAGGTAATCAGACTGAAATTAACAGGCCAAGAAACAGTCTATTCATCAAGTCTGAAGACAAGCAGCAAATTTTTTCCCAAGTAATTTTAACAGAAGTGCTCACAGAAACAATATGCCTGGTAAAGCTCAAGAGTGAATGAGCCGACCATCCACGTCTGCACAGTAATGTATGCTTCTGGGGCAGTGGTCCCACAACCAATGGTAAGAAAAACCCTATCAATGCACTCATTTTCTAATGAGAACATTTGTGCCTTAGATAATGCTCATTTGTCAACTGACACATAAATGATCACCATGAAGAGAAGGGCTGTACAAGTTAATGCACGGACTGGAGTGATGTCAGAGTTGTTGATAAAAAGTTTAGGGCTTCATTTCCTTTTAAGTTTATATCTGGGACCCTATATTACCTAAAGTCTCTAGTTCCATTTTTGTTTCTTCCATCAGGGAAAGAAGACCAAGTCCTCTGCAGCCTAAGTCACTCACTGGGAAGGGACACCGGGCTTAGTGGACCCTCAAGCTCAGTGTCCACAGGGCCTCACCCTCACACTGTGCTCCTGTCTGCCTTGTGGAAGTGACAGTTTTCTCAGGGTAGTACCAGGTAAGTGGTAATCTCTAAACATGGGGAGGAGGGAGAAAGATGAAGACTCTGGCCTAGAGCAGGTTCTGTAGCAGGTATTAAGGAAGAAAGAGTTCCAGTGAAATAAGTCTGAGAAACAGAAGGGTACACAGGATGTCTTGGCCTTTTAAACTCTAGTATTAGGACTCTCCTTTCAGATGAGTGTTACATAGAAACAATGCCCAGTTCCAGGATTTCTTTCTCTTGCTATCAGACAGACAATGGAAAAGAACCACATTATACCATCTCTGAACCTTACATCAGTCCACTTTATGGTTCTGACTGGTTCATATTGCTTCTCTCTGACCTTCCCTGTCACCAACTATACTCTTGGTTATTTGCAGCAGGAGCTGTTTACTCATGTTTTCTGTGGTATTTCATACCATTCAAGAAGTGAGTTGGAAGTAGGGAAAAATAAAGAATGAGAAGGAGGCATCAAGGACAGAGAATGGTATTGTTTCAGAAATGATGGTCCATGAAATATGATTAAGTAACATTTTTGTTTTGTTTTGTTTTTTATTGAGACAGGGTCTCACTATGTAGAGTCCAGGCTGGCCTTGAACTCATTATATAGCCCAGGGTTGCCTTGAATTTGTGGTGATCCTTCTGCCTTGGCCTCCTGCGTGCTGGGATTACAGGTTTGTCCCACCATACCCAGCTTGATTATGGTGACATTTAATGTCTATGTCAAATAAGGTGAAATTTAAGGAGAGACTTGAAGTGTGAGACAACAAACTGTGCAGCCACTAAGGGAAGACATTCCAGCAGAGGGACTGCAGAATGCAAAGGTATTGAGTTTGCAATGGACTTAGCACATTTGAAGAACAGAAGAATAAACAGAAGCCTATGTGGCTGAAAGAGTGGTAAGAACATGCATGATGTCGGACATGTATCCAAGAGCAAGATGACACAGGGCTTTCAGGGCCCTCTTTTGTATTCTGAGTCATTTGGGGGGTACTGGAGAGTTGTGAATGCAGAGCTGACACACAACTCCCTTGCTTTCAGAGCACCACTGGCTCACGCGAGACTAAACTTTGGTGGAGAAAGGGTGGAAGCAGGGAGACAGGAAGAAAGCGAGGGTGGCTTGCATTACAATGTGATAAGTGGAATGGGTAAGAGGGGAGCGATGCTAAGAAAGTGAAATGATTTGGTAATGTATTTGATGTGAGATGTGAGAGACAGACAAAACGTTTTTCTTTTGAGCAATTAGAAGAACAAAGTTGTCATGGAGACAGGGAATAGTAAGAGGAGCAGGTTTTAGGGGGAGGTTTTTGGGGGCTAGATTTGAGACGCCTTTAAACTACATGGAGATGTCAGTGAGGTAGCTGGTACTGCACGGTATCTTGGGATTTGGTTGGGCTGCAGATTTAATTTTGGGAGTAACAGGCATAGAGACAGACAATTATAGTGGTAAGATTGGATGATGTAACCATGAGAATGAGCTGATATGGGAAAGAGGTCCTAGAATGAACTCTGCAGGTCAAGGAAATACCTCCAGCAAATGGTAGTCTCCTGCAAAAAAGACTCAGAAGTAGGGTGAACTTTCAAGAGACAAAGTTGTCCAAGAAACCAAATGAAGAAAGAGCTTCAAGAAATTATAAATGAAGCTAGGTAAAATATTGTGTGCCTATAATCCTACTGTGAGAGGCTGAGGCAGGAGGACTCCAAGTTCAAGCCAAGCCTCGGAAACTTAGTAATTTAGTGAGACCCTGTCTCAAAACAAAAAATAACAAAGGTCTGTAACTCAGTGTGAAGGCCTTGGGTTTAATACACCCATTCTTGCAAAGATAAATGGGGAAGGGGACACGGCTCAGCAGCAGAGCACCTGCATAATATGTACAAGGTCCTGATTTGATTCCTATCCTCACAGAAAACTGAAATAAAAAAGAAATGATAAATGCTCAAATACAGCAGATGTTACTGACAATCATTGCACTGACACTGTGCAGGACATTGACCACCTGACAAGAACAATCTTGGTGCAGTGGTAAAGATGAACCCCTGACTGGTTTGACATGGGAGTGGGAGGAGTGAGGGTGGATACACTGTAGACTTTTAAGGAACTGAACTATAGAGGGGAGCAGAGACACAGGTGAGTGGGACCTGTAGGCAAGACTGTTTTTTCAATCCATTCTTTTCTTTTATGGGGCTGGGGAGTCAAACTCGGTGCCTTGCGCATGCTAGGCAAGCACTCTACACCTGAGCTACACCTCCAGCCCTCTGAGTTGTGCTAAAGTACTTAGGTGGAGGTAGGGGGCAGGGGTTTAGTTGGATTTTATTCGGGAGTTTTTGCCACATACAAGAGCAGCAGAGGGAAAGCTGACAGGGAGTTGAGAGTTGCTATAAGGAAGAAACTGGAATTATGGACATCAAAAGTGAGTTTAGGAGGTAGGGATAAGAACATTTTAGAGACTAAATTCCTCTTGTATGCTACAAAGACTACTCCATTCCTGCCTAATTTATATACCATCCCTGCTAAGTGCTACATAGTTCTCTAACAAAGACTTCCTCTCTTACCTTTCAATGAACTTTAAGAGAATATGGCCTTATGTTTTCAATTTTAGCTGCCTTACTTATTATGTTGTCAGATTAAATGGTTTCCCTGTCATTAGAACCAAGACACAACCAAATTAAAATCCTTATAAAACTCAAGTGATGTGTGAAAAGTTCAGCAGCCAGGATCTGGGAGAAAAAGACTTCAGTGTGATAATTCTAAGCAAAATGGGTAAGATGAAGCCACATGAAAATCTAAATTTTTAAAACAGAGCAGAATGACCCATAAGTCTTAACATCTCTTGTTGTTACTTTAAAACCTTTCAAACACACTATTGGCCCACTACTCAGGCTCTATTGAATTCTAACATTTTAATAGCCTTAGTTTACATTTGTAAGATTTAAACATGTTTTTATGAAGACTTTTTTGTTTTGGTGGTGCTGGGGATCAACCCAGGGCCTTGCACTTGCTGTTAGGCAAGTACTCTACCACTGACCTACATTCAAACCCCTTTTTATTTTGAGACAGGGTCTCTCTACGTTGCCCTCCTGCTGAGGTGGAAGGATTGTAAGTTAAGAGTGCCCAGCTCATAAAAAGAGACCTTTAATCCCTTTCTACATGTGTCCCAGGAAAGCTCTGCTACTTACGGGAGTTAATTATATTCCTGAGGTGCATCGGGAGATAGGATGAAAAGACTGTGGGCCACTCCACCACTTCTCTGTACTATCAGTACACAAATTTGCTTTAATGACTTGATACTTCAAACATTTAAAAATTATTATTTTTCTTTGTTGATAACAAAGTTCAGTCCTTCCATTACACAAATGGAAGTAGCCAATAATCATCTATTCAGATTTATATGCTGCAGAGTATTAGGAATGCACATATATAAAAACTGCCCCTTACTTGTTGCTTCCCATTGCTCCTTGCTGCCAGGCCTTCATGTCTGGTGACTGGTACCCGGAAGTGGGCGGAGTTTGTTGGAGCAGAGAGCTCTGAGGAGGAGGAATTGGCATTGGCACCATGGAGCTTCCCGGGCTCAGAGATGGTGCAAAGTTGGCCTCACTTTGGGGAACCATTCCTGAAAATTGACACAAATTAATTTATGTGAATGCACTGTAGACTTATTAACCCCCACATGAGAATAAACTCAAAGGATTCACAATATATTTAGAAATATCTTCTTCAACAAAGTAGGGAAAAAATACGTCTCTTAAAATAAGCCAGGATATCTTATACAAACACACAGATAAACACACAAATTTGGAAGAATGCTTTCCATTTACTGAGATATTGATTGCTTAGAAGGACTATGTATGATTTTCTTTTCTTTTTTTTTTTTTTTGAGCAGCAAAGGCCAACAGGAGAAAGGAGATGAACTCACAAACCAACTTCTTGACCTGTTTGGGGTCTGGAGATTACATGAACAGGATAAAAGAAATGAGGGGGAGGGATAGGTTCCTAAAGGGGAAATGTTCATGTCTTTTCTGGCAATAGGCAGATTTTCTGGGAATTTGGGTGTCACTTCTTTTCAATCCTATTATGGTTCTTCTGGTTTCATCACAATAGTCTACTGTCAAGGTGCTGGTGTGTATGTCATTTAGTAGGCTGATGGGATTATGAAGTTAGAGGTTCTCTGGCAGTCACTTTGTTAACACGAATTTTTAGGTGTAAAAACATATGAACACATGTGTTAGATTATTTGGGTAATAAAAGTAACCTAAAAAGGGAAACAATTAGGTAAGAAAAACTCATATTTGAGAATGAAAAATAGAAAGTTTTGTTGTCTATACTTCAGTCTTCTGTTTTTCTTTTTAAAAAAGCTTTACTGAAACATTATCTACATAGCATGAAATTCATCCACTGTAAATGCAGAATTAAAGTATTTTTTAATTTAAAAAATTTAAAAAAATATTTGTTTGAGATACTGTGTAGTCCAGCCTGGCCTTGAACTCACTGTGTAGCCAATCTGGTCTCAAACTCTTGTCAGTCTTCCTGCTTTAGCCTCCTGAGTAATAAAGGTAATTTTTTTTTTTTCTGTCTTTTTGAGACAGGGTCTCCCTGTGCAGTTCAGGCTGGCCTTGTGCTCACTTTGTAGCCCAGGCTGGCCTCAAACTTGCAACAATCCTCCTGCCTCAGCCTCCCAAGTGCTAGGATTACAGGCGTGCACCACCATGCCTGACAAGGGTAATTTTTAAAATCAGGTAACTATCCATCTTTATTCTTCTTTTGAAAAATTGTTTTGGCTATTCAAGGTCCTTTGCACTTTCAAATACATTTAATTAATTAATTAATTTTTTTTTGGGGAGACAGGATCGTACTATGTATTCTAGGCTGGCCTCAAACTGGCAACGATCCTCCTGCCTCAGCTTCCCTGAGGGCTGGGATTACAGACATGTGCCACCATGCCTGGCTCCATTTTAGGATAAGCTTATCACTTTCCTGAAAAACAATGCTGAAATTTTGATGGCGATTACGCTGAATTATAGGCAATTTGGAGTGAACTGCCTGCTTTTCAGTTTTCTTTCTTTCTGAATAGTTTTCTATCTCTGGATAGTTTTTATTGCTATACTCCTTCAAATTCATTATTTTTTTCTTCTGTAAATTTTATGCTGTTGTTTATTTCATCTGCATGTTTTCCCACTTCAGACACTATGGTTTTTTTAAAAGACTGATTTTGGTTTTAGGGCTATTTTATATTTTTATTTTTAATTTTTTGGTTTTATTTGATTTTTTTTTTTTTTCCGGTACCGGGAATCGAACTCATGACATCGTGCTTGCCAGGCAAGCACTGTGCCACTGAGCTAAATCCCCAGCCCCTGGTTTTATTTGAGATAGAGTCTCACTATGTAGTTCAGGCTGTTTTAAATAGACTTCCTGAATTCACTTTGTAAAATATCTTTCCTTCAGAAAGCAGTAAGAATAATGGGGTAAGTGTGTCTGACGCTGGGGGTGATAGTTTGATAGAGATCTTGTTTCTTTTATTGTAATAAGTTAAAAAATTTGAAGATTAATTATATTTTTTATTACAAATCAAAGTCTAGTTTCTTCTAGTACAATTCTTTGTCTAGACTATGTTAACTCTCCCCACTAGACCATACAGGAGGATCAGAGCCATCTGATAGCAGCAAAAAGAATCAGAATTCATACTTCCATCCACTTATCTCTTCAAAGACACACTGAACATCTACTCACTGACAGATCACTGTGCTAAGCACTGGAGAAACAGAAAACAAAGATTAAAATGATCACTCGTTATTCATGTTATTTGAAAAGAAAGCTAGGTTAGCAAGTGATTATAGAGGGTGGTGGTGGTGAGTGTTTATGATTGGGTTATCAGGATAGGATTTCCAGAGAAAATATATCTGAGAGGAGGAAGGAACAGGAATGACAGAGGAGAGGAAAAATATTTTATAAAGTGGGTACAGGAAGTCTAAGGGCCTAGAAGTAAAAGGGAACCAAGGTGTATGCTTTCTTAGAACTTAGGAAGTCTGTTGTAGCTGGAATGCTGAGCTGTGGAGGGAAGGGGAAATACAGGTGTTGTATCTAGCTATGAACAAGTTTGGAGTACTGGGGGGAAAAGCAAGCATGTCTGTTCAGTACAGCTGCACATATGAGCCAAAAATCTGGTTCAGAGGTAGAGAATGAAGGCATTAGCATGCAGAAGTCCCTGCAGCCCCAGAAGTAGACCACTGAGAGGAATACATAGAACAGCATGTCTATTCAGTTCACATTAGAGGGATCACTAGATGGGCTTCAAGGAACCCATGAAGTGGGTATAATATTAAAAGATAAATTCCCTCATGTTTATTATGAATATTACCTTGTATAAAGCCATTTTGATGTTTAATTCTATTCCTAAGCATTCATCATGGCATGATAGTCTAGAAAGATTTTCTGTTTTCAAAAATATAAGAACACATACTCTGCCATTCCTATTACTTACATGTCCTTTCATTTAATTTAGGGCTATGATAAGCTGAAAAATGCAAAGTAAAGCTAACATAGATATCTTTGGTTTTACTGTTATTAACATGGGAATCATTAAATGTTTCTGCTAAGAGCCAGATAGTAAATAGTTTTTGTCTTGGAGGCCATAAGTTTTCTGTAACAACTACTCTGTTGTGTGAAGCCAGCCATGGATAAACTAGTAAGCATGTGAACATAATAAACTATAGAGAGCATGGCTGTGTTCCAGTAAAACTTATTTACAGAAATAGTGGAGCTGAATTAGACTTATGGACTTAAGTTTACTAACTTAAATTCATGCAAACTTCATGTTCCCGAAACATGCTAGGACATATATGTTTTAGAACTTTTGTGTGGCAAATTTACTGGCAATAGAAGCATAAAACTAACAAATACCAAAGACCCCTACATCTGAATTTCCTTAAACTACAATAAATTGGTGTGTGTGTGTGTGTGTGTATGTGTGTGTTTCACAAGGCGTAATTTCAAAATGTTTCAACTTTTCTGAATTTGAATTGGTACTAACTCAAAGCCTGGTCTTGAAGCTCCCTAACCAGAATCCTACTCGTGTTAGAGCAAATTTATAATTTAGAGTAGAAGTTAAAAACACAGTATTTTTAAATGTTATTCTCTCCAAAAAACTAACAATTTCTTTCCAATATTACTTTGAAGTAGTTTATGGAAGAATGGACAGCTATTTCATTTCAGTTTAGAAATGGATGAAACTATGACTTTTTATTGTACTTATTTTCTGGGTTTTGTCTGTAGTATGAATGCTCACTTTCTCAAAGAAAAATTCTTATTTTGTGAAAAATATTTTTTGTCAATCAAAAAAGTTGGTCTGGGAGAACAATTTAGGTACTTATGACAGATGGGTGTACTATATGGGCAAGTCAAGCAGCAGTGCTTCTCATTAAATTTTTAAAGCTGTTTTAATACTTCTTTCACTTATATAATGAAGAGGCTCATTTTCATTTTTTCAGCAACTTGTCATTAATGTTGTGTAAAAGTTTGATTAAACAAATTTTTGTAACTGTCACTATTTATTGGAATCTCAACATGACAGAAAGGAAATTTAAAAACCAAGGGACAAGAAAAGAACAAAAATTAAAAACGAAAAACTTTTGGAAACCAGAATGTTCACTGCAGAGGAAGCTATCACCTAAGCAGTCAGAAGTTGTGACACCACTGAAAAGTCTGAGATACTTCAGTAAGACTGATAATCCTTATGTAAACTATCAAAAAAATCGCACAAGGAGAAAAACTATATGCAAATTTTGAATTAATGCTCTAAAATTCATTGTCTGGGGATAACTTTAATTAGGTCTCACTGGGCTCCATGAGAGAAAGTAAAAAAATAAGAGAATGTATTTTGCATATAAAATGTTAAACACTTTAGAGTCAGACAAGTCCTTATAAATCCTTTAACTTAATCATGTCAGCTGTCAAAGAGGGAGAAGTCTCAAACCATTCAACCATTCAGTGGCAAGAGTTGAGTGTGGAGCCTGGACCTCCTGACTCTACTCCTGGAGTCTGTCCTCTGACGCACAATGCCTCAGTGGAAATGTGCAGAAGCAAGCCCTGCACAGGCCTTTGAGTGTATTACAACGAAGTGTGTTACTTAGAAAACCAACACACAATTGTGCCCCTCCTACCTGATCCTGGATACTGGAAGACATTCTGCTGCATCTGAGGACTGATTCCAGTGCCGAACTGTCCTCCCATGTTTCCTGCCATGCCTCTGCTCACCATGCTGTTACGGGTGGCCAAGGATGCTTCAGGATTTGCTGCCAGTTGTGAAAATGGGCTGGTAGAAGCAGGTGGAGTTCCTGGATTTGTACCATAGTTTGGTGGGTAGGGGAATTGCTGTGGAGCACCCTGAGGAAGACGGGGGTTCCCCATTTGAACTGGCAGTCCAGATGAGGGAGGGAGGTTGTTCCCAAAGCTTTGCTGTCTCATAAGCATGGCTCGTTGCTGCTGTATTAGCTGCCTCTGTCGGTGCTGCTGACTGTACAACTCCCGCTGACGCTGTGCCAACATCTGAGCATTCAGGGGTGGCTACAAAAGAGGAAAAACCCTTCACTAACTAAAATCATTATAGTCATTATTCATACTGGAAAGCTGATAGGAAAAACCTTGAGAGCTTGGGGCAATAAAATAATTATCATTATACAAGGCAAATTAAAACAGAAGGAACAAAAACCTCTTAAGTAATACTAACAAGAGAGAAAATGAATTATGAATTAAATACACTTCACAGATAAAAGTAGCTGAGAAACACTAAGATGATATCCACCTAAAAAGGTGGCTAAATGCAAATTACCAATTACAGTGGAAAAAAAATGAGAAGAGTTACAGAGAGTATATATTAATTAGTTTTGTAATACAGGCCAAGAAAACTGCTAAGAAAAACATAAAAACTATAAGGATGTGAAAGAAAATATACTTGATCACCTCTATCCTATTTGACATTAGATTGTTAGATTTTTTCATTTCAAAAAAATTTATTGTTTTTAGTATTGAGAAACTTAGTTTCTCCACTTTTTCACTGAAATCATTTATGCTACTTTATTTAAATAAGTAAAACGTGATTATAAATTATTTTAATTTTCATTATACTTTTCTACATTTCCCAAATTATTTACAGTGAACATGCATCACATTTACAATTAGAAATACCTACAAATATCATTTAAAAAGAACCAGAAACCTGAAACCTAACGCCTAACAAATTATCACTTAAAAAGAAAATAATTAACTAGAAATAAAATAGCAAAAGAGAATGAAAGGGAAACAGCTGTTTATATCATTATTGTAGCCCAAGAACACTCTAGGCAGTAGGGTAATTGTCTAAATAGCTATGATATCACAGATGAGGAAAGAACGGGTAAAATTAGGTTAACATCACTTTTTGGTTTAATGAGCAAAGTAACATGGCATGGCAACAGTCTTCTTCAGAAGATGCCAATCTGCTGATTATGACAAACACTCTATTACAATTAAACTCACCAACTGGATATAGTTCAATCTGGAAGAAAGTAAAATATGACTTTTTTTATTGGTACATTTTAGATATACATAATGATAATATTCATCATAGGGAATTTGTACCTATACATGGTATATTTTGCTTCTACTTTTTTCCCCATTCCTCTCCCTTCCCTTCAATCCCTCTACCCCTCCTTATTTACAAAAGCTTTCTTTTCATTGTTTTCCCTTCTATTTTTGTCTTGTTCTTTTCCCCTCCCCCATCTGTTCTCCTTCTCATTTGAACATTTTCTCCCCATTTCCTAATATCTACTATACATTTTGCTTCTTATTTACATTTTTGGTTGCTCATGCCAGAGAAACAATGAGGTATTTAAGCAGCTGAGTCTGATTTATTTCACTTGAAGAGGACGGTCTCCTGGTGCATCCGTTTATCTAGAAATCTGTCAAGCTTATCCTTTATGGCTAACAAACACTCCACTGTATATATATAAAAAAATCTGCATCTTCCCAATCCATTTACCAGTTGATAGGCACTTGGGCTGATTCCAAGATTTGGCTATTATACAAGCTGTGCTGTTATAAACACGGGTGTGCATATATTGCTTGGTAAAACACTTTTAATTCTTTCAGGAAGATACCAAGAAGTGAAATAGCTGGGTCTTGTGGAACTTCTAGTTTTAGTTTTGGAGGAATCTCCACACTAATTTCTACAGTGGTTGCATCAGTCTACATTCCCACCAATAGTGGAGAAGGGTTTGTTTTACCCCACAAGCCAGGATTTGTTACTGGTTGTTTTCTTGATAATCAGCATTCTTTCTGGAGAAAGATGGAATCTCAGCTTTGTTTTAATTTGAATCTCTCAAATGGCCAGTGATGTTGAATACATATTTGCGTGTGTGTGTGTGTGTGTGTGTGGCTTTTTTGAGACAGGGTCTCACTATGCAGTTCAGGCTCGCCTTGAGCTTATTTTGTAGCCCAGGCTGGTCTTGAACTTGCAAAGATCCTCCTGCCTCAGCCTCCTGGATGCTGGGATTACAGGTGTGCATCACCACGCTTGGCTTTTCCGTATATTTACTTGCCATTTCTACTCCTTCATTTGAGAAGTGTCTATTCATTTCAGATGCCCATTTTTTGATTGGGTCTTTAAATTTGGGGGTTCTAATTTTTTTGTTTTGAGTTTTTTATATAGTCTAGATAGCAGTCCTTTGAGAAACACCTGGCAAAAGTTTTTTCCCACCATGTGGGTCGTCTCTTCACTTTGCTGATGCTTTCTCTTGCTGTGCAAAAGCTTTTTAATATGATGAGATCCCAGTTGTTGATTCTTTATATTTCCTGTGCAACCAAGGTTTTGTCATAAAGTATCTGCATACACCAATGTCTTCAAGAGTTCTACCTAATTTCTCTGCCAGCAGATTTAGTGTTTCTGTTTTAATATTTAGGTCTTTGATCCATTTTGATTTTAGTTTAGTGCATGGTGAAAGATACTAGTCTAATTTTAATCTTCAGCATGCGCAAAGCCAGTTTTTCGGGCACCATTTATTAGAGGCTAACTTTCTTCCATGAACATGTTTGGCACTTTTGTCAAAGATAAGGTGTCTGAGTATGTCTGGAGTTGTTTCTTCATCTTCTAATTTGTCCATTGTCCTTGGGTCTAGTTTTTTGTTTTGCCAGTACCATGCTGTTTTTATCACAGTAGCTTTGTAGTATAATTTCAAGTCAGAGATTGTGATGCCCTTTGCCTTGCCTTTATTGCCCAGAATTTTTTTGGCTATTCTAGGTCTCTTCTGATTCCAAATGAGTTTTAGAATTATTTTCTCTAAATCTGTGAGATATGCTATTGGTATTTTGATCAGGATTGCATTAAGTCTGTATAACAATTTTGGGAGTATGGCTGTTTTCACAATGTTGGTTCTTCCTACCCAAGTACAAGGGATATCTTTCCATTTTCTGATACCCTCTTCAGTCTCCTTTTTCAGAGTATTGTAGTTTTCAATATAAAGGTCTTTTACTTCCTTTGTTAGATTGATCCCTAGATATTTCATTTTTTTTGGATGCTACTGTGGAAGATGTTGTTTCACTAATTTCTCTCTCAGTGAATTTGTTATTTGTGTATAGGAGTGCTATGGATTTTTTTCTTTTTGTTGTTTTGAGACAGGGTCTCACTATGTAGTTCAGGCTGGTCCTGAACTCATTATGTAGCCAAGGCTGGCCTTGAAATCGCAGCAATCCCCGTCTCAGCCTCCCAAGTCCTGGGATTACAGGTGTGTGCCACCATGCCCAGCTTGCTATTGATTTTTGAGTGCTGACTTTGTATCCAGCTACACTACTGAATTTGCTTATTAAATCTAGAAGTCTTTTGGTGGAGTTTTGGGGGTCTTCTATGTAAAGTATCACATCATCTGCAAATAATGATAATTTAACTTCTTCCTTTCCTATTCTAATTCTTCTTACTGTATGTCTTTCTCTTGTCTAATTACTCTGGCTAATGTTTCCAGAACTATATTGAATAAGAGTGGTGATAGAGGACATCCTTGTGTTGTTCCTGATTTTAGAGTGAAAGCTTTCATTTTTTTGTCCATTTAGTATGATGTTGGCTGTTGGTTTGTCATAAATGGTTTTTATCAGATTGAGATAAAGACTATTTTAATTTTCTGTAAGGTTTTTTAAAATCATGAAGTGGTGTTGGACTTTGTCAAATGATTTTTCTGTATGTACTGAGATACAGGTTTTGTCTTTGGCTCTGTTAATATGGTGTATTATATTTATTGATTTGTGTACGTTAAACTGTCCTGGCGTTCCTGGCATGAATCCTATTTGGTCATGGTGTATAATCTTCTTGATGATTTTCTGCATTGTTTGCCAGTATCTTATTGAGGACTTCTGTGTCTATGTTCATTAGGGAGATAGACCTGTAGTTTTCTTTTTTGGTTGGATCTTTCTCTGGTTTTGGAATTGGGGTAATACTTGTTTTCACGAATGAATTGGGGAGTACTGCTTCCCTTTCAATTAAGAGTTTGAGAAGTAGTGGCCTTAGGTCTTCTCTAAATTTCTTATAGAACTCAGCAGTCAATCTGTCAGGACCTGGGCTTTTCTTTGTTGATACATTTTTAATTATATCTTCAATTTCATTGACATTGGTTTATTTAGAATTTTTATCTTCTCGATCAGCTTTGGTAATTCGTATGTATCTAGGAATCCGTCCATTTCTTCTATGTTTTCCATTACATTAGAATACAGGTTCTTGAAGTAGGTATTGATCTGAATTTCTTCAGAACCTGTTGTAATTTTACCCTTTTCATTCCTAATTGCATGGTTTGTTTTTTGTTTTTTGTTTTTTTTTGGTCTTTTTGAGACATGGTCTCACTATGCAGTTCAGGATGGCCTTGAGCTCACTTTGTAGCCCAGGCTGCCCTCAAACTTGCAACGATCCTCCTGCCTCAGCCTCCCAAGTGCTGGGATTACAGGTGTGCACCACCACACCTGGCCTAATTGCATGGATTTAAGTCTTTTCTTTCCTTTTTTTGATGAGGTTGTCTAAGGGTTTGTCAATTTTATTTAATCTTTCAAAGAACCAACCCTATATTTCATTGATTCTTTGTATTGCTTTAAGTCTCTATTGACTTAATTTCTGCTATGATCTTTACTATTTCCTCCCTTGTATGAGATTTGGACTTGACGTGCTTTTTTTTCTAGAAGCTTGAGATTCAACACTAGGTTGTTTATTTGAGCTCACTCTATTTGTCTGATAAGAGAATTCATCCCTATACATTTCCCTTGTAGGACTACTTTCATTGTGTCCCATAAGTTCCTGTTGTACTGGCATTATTAACTGCAGAAACTTTTTTTTTTTTTTTGGTTTTTCTCCGGTACCGGGAACCGAACTCACGACCTTGCGCTTGCCAGGCAGGCGCTTTTGCCGCTGAGCTAAATCCCCAGCCCCAACTGCAGAAACTTCATCTGTGACCCACTTGTTGTTTAAGAGGGTATTATTTAATTTCCATGTCTTTATGAAGTTTTTGTGGTTTCTTTTGCCATTCATTTCCAATTTCACTGCACTATGATCTGATAATATGCATGGGATAATTTCAGTTCTTTGCACTTACTTAAGCATATTCTATGAGCTAGTATGTAGTTTGTTTTGGAGAATGTTATGTGTATAGCTGAGAAAAAACTGAGGGGTGGAACACTCTGTAGATACAACTAAGTCCATTTGTTCAAAAGTTTGGTACAGTTCTGATATTTCTTTGTTGATTTTTTGGTCTAGTTCATCTGTCTATTTTTGACAGTGGCACACTGAGGTCCCCCCTGACAGTTTTATTTGTGCTTATTTTTCATGTCCCTTAATATTTATCTTACAGAGTTGTGTGTGCTGGTATTCTGTGCATATATATTTATGGATTGTTCCTTTTACAAAGATGTAATGACCTTTTGTCTCCCTTAATCAATCTTGGCTTGAGATCTACTTTGTCTGCAAACAGAATAGCTATGCCTGCTTTTTTTTTGGGTTCCTGTCACATGGAGTATCATTTTCCATCCTTTAACTTTCAGTCTATAAATTTCTTCTTGAATTAAATGTGTTTCTTGTATGCAGCATATTGCTGGCTCTTGTTCTTGATCCATTCTGTGGCTCTAGGAGATTGCCACTGACCAGGCTGTATGTGATCACTGGGCTCACAGTGCTGGTCTTCCTTCTCTGTAGCCTGCCTCTATATATCATGTCACTCTGGGGTAACATGATGTTTTAGACAATGGATGATTTTAATTATATGGTACTTTGGGGGATGGCTTACTTGCTAACAGCAGAAGTAATAAAGCAAATGAATGGGGCTCTAGGAAAAATATCAAATCAGAAATAATTTCTCAGATAACTACAGAGATGGTGACCATAATGAAAGACATGGTTAGTAAGTCTAGAGCAGATACAGATTTGGTTTGGTTCTTTTGATTGGTGATTTGAGACTATTAACATTGATGGTTATAACTGATATGTACTCACTTATCCTTGTCATGTTATTTTCCTGTTGTTGGTTTCCTCCTCCCTTCCTTGTTTAGTTACTTGCTTGGCCTGGTGGATTCATTCTGTTGGGGTTCATGGAGTTGCAGTCCTCATTATCTCTTTCTAGAACATCCTTTGGAATATTCTGGAATGCTGGTTGGTGTTCATGAATTTCTTTAGGTGTTCTTTGTCATGGAAGTCACTTATTTCTCCAGTGATTTTGACAGATAGTTTTGTGGGGTGCATCAATCTGGGTTGGAAGTTGTTTTCTTTTAGGGCTTGAAACATGTTACTCCAGTCTCTCTTTGACTTGAGGGTTTTTGTTGAGAAATGTGCTGTGATTCGGATTGGCTTGCGTTTATGTATGACTTGTTTTTTTTCCTCTAACAGCTTCTAATATTCTGTTCTTATGTTGAATTTTCTTGAAGTCTTACTATTTTATGCCTTGGGGTAGATTTTTTTAATCATGGCTAATTGGAGTTCTATATGTTTCACTTACTATATGTCAAATTCTTTTTCCATGCTTGGGAAGTTTTCTGCCATTACTTCTGTGAACAGATTTTTTATGTCATTTATGCTAACTCCTGCTTTTTCACTGACTCTGCTCAATCTTACGTTATTCTTTGTATCATCTAGCAGCTATTGGATTGATTTTTCATCATTCCTTGGTATTTTCAAGAAACCTTTCTTTTTACAATTGCTTACCAAAATCCTGTCTTGTGTGTCAGATATTCTGTCCTCACATTGGATCATTCTGCTGCATTTGCTTTCAACGGAATTTTTAATCTCCTGGCTATCTGTTTGAATCTGTTTCATGGATTCCATTTCTTTCCTATGTTGGGTGTTCATAGTTTCCATCAGTTTCCTAAGTACCACTATATGTATATATTTTTTTATCTGTATCTGCTCTAGACTTACTAACCATGTCTTTCATTATGGTCACCATCTCTGTAGTTATCTGAGAAATTATTTCTGATTTGATATTTTTCCTAGAGCCCCATTCATTTGCTTTATTACTTCTGCTGTTAGCAATTCAGTGAGTTCAGGTAGATGGCCTTAGAACTGTGCCACCCCACTGGCCCCTGGGTTTGCCTTTGGTGAGTTGGAAATCTGGGGTTGCATCTTGCTTAAGTGTCTTTCTTTCCCTTTCCCTTTCTCTTTCCCTTTCCCTTTCCCCTTCCCTTCCCTTCCCTTCCTTCTCCTTCCCTCTACTTTTTCTCTGTCTCTCTCCCTCCCTCCCTCCCTCTCTTCCTTTTTTTCTTAGTTTAATTCCTGGGTTGATGCTTATAAATTGCTTATGGCATATAGCTTCATTTCTAGTATGCAGAACCTTTAGGAAATGACTGCTTCTCAGAAATGTCTCACAGGTGTGGCTGGCTTTTGGGTTGAGTCTGTTACAAGATCCTACCTCTTACATTTATTGGGTTGCTGAATATTTGGTCTAGCCCCTAGATCTTTGATGTTGGCCTATAGTAGTATTTATGACCTTTAGGCAATCTCAGTCTTGGCATACCAGAAAGAACAACTCTTTAGAACAATTATGTCACCTTGGCTAAAAGTAGTACAATCAGCAATAATAATGGCACCAAACACAGTCTAGAAAATGTCAAATTATGATAACTATTAATTTGCTACCTTTAACCATATGAACTATATTTGTGGTTATAGCAAAATCTAAAATGAACTAGAAAATTGTGTATAGTAAATATGCCCTCAATATAGTGATTTTACCCTCAGAGGACAAAATTTAAAAGGGGTTGGTTGAAAAATAGAGAAATAGAAAAAGAGGAAGAGATTAGAAGCAAGGCTGGAGGACAAAGAAAGATTACAAGAACTTTAGGAAACTGGTGAAGAAATATGGCTTCCTGATAGAAAATCATTTTTCTTTGAATTCCCAACGTGGGTTTATTTGCTTACAATATAATTATTCCTAAATGAATATACCACTGAGATTTGCAATTTTTAAGTAAGAGGAGCCCAAATCTGGCCCCATGAAAATGCCTATATCTACCTGCTTGCAAGAGGCCTCTACCAACATTTATCCCTTTGATTAGTGTTGGCTTTCAGTATTTGCCCCAAATTCATCTAGGTCCATTTAATGAGAGAAAAAAAAAAAAAAAAAGAAAAGAAAAGTTTTGAGTCTTCTCTGAAATTGTTGCTTCAACTTTGTTAACATAAATAAGTAGGTGTAGCAAAAATATTAAAACATGTATTGAAGGAAATCAGAAAGCAAGTTAGTTCCTTTTAAGTTTAAAGTTCCAATGGCTTCATATGTCAGATTTAAATACAAAATCTTCACAATAAATAAATGTTAGAAAATACTGATTTCAGACTGAGCAGAGTCACAAGACAGTTAAGACAGGTAACAAAGTTGTTGGGTTTTGATTAAGTTCATGTTTGATCATACAATTTTATATCAAAGGCTTCCAATTACTGGTACTATTCAGAACAGTAATAAGGGTTTTCTATTTGATCAACTGATATCCTATAACAAGGATAACAATAAAACAAAACACAGAATCTTTGGTTTTAGACAAAATATCAGTAAGATGGATCATAAATAGCTTATTAATTCATTTTAGAAGAAAACAGCACTTCTCATATCATTAAAAGATTAGCTCACACGGTATGACAAAAACATTCAAGTTGACAGATTACAGAATTCCTACCAATGTTTGGCTTCCTCATATTACCTGAGGTGTGATTTGCTGCTGCATGCCTGATCTCATGTTAATGCCAACTGGAGTATTTGCTGCAAACTGGTTCAAGAGAGCTTGCCGATTTTGGTGTATCAACTAAGAAAAATGGAAATAAGGAAAGATCATATTTCTTGACACAGGCATAGAGGGCCTTATATAGCAACATAATTTCCCATGTTTATATGCCAGAAGACTAATTTCTAGCAATTATCAAATACTGCCTTCACAGCACTAAATGTGGCAGAGCATTTAAAAGTAGAAAACACACACAGATATATACTACTGTACTTTTTAAAGCATGTTAATAGTTATTTCATGTAAGTATAGAAAGGGAAAAAAGAAACAGCAATTGTAGGTCTTAAAAGATTGTGAATAAAAAAGCAAGTATATAGTAAAGTGTATATTCTCTGCAAAGTTCTGGAAGATGGAAGGAAAGCTGAGGTAGTTAACATTATATTCTCACTTGAAGGTATTATCTGGTGGGTATGTATCTGGAGAAAAATCCACTATGATATCATTAGCTGGACAGAATTATGTAAGAAACAAATGGTCCGAGAAAATGAATTATTTATATAACTAGAAGAAGTAATTACTTTAGACCAGCATTTCCCAAATTGATGTTCTAAAGAACATTGTTCTGCAGGATATTAATAGATGTGCTAGGAAAATAGCATGCTGTGCTGTATGAAGTATTAGAAATGATGGGTTATACAAGGTGAACAGATTTATTTACTGCAGTAATTTCATGAGACTTTAATTGGCCAAACCACACTGTGCATCTCCAAAGAAGAGGATATACTATACAACTTATTTATTATAAGTCCTCTTTCCTGATTTTTAACAATCAACATCTGTCTCTCAGAATAATTTTCTATAGAATACTAGTTTGAAAGAGCCATCTAAATCAATGATCTAGGGCTCCAGGTCATAAGCATGCTTTATTTGGTGACAAAAGAAACATCCTTAGAAGTGAGATTTCGCTGTAAACAATCTACAGGTGAAAGAATTTCTTCCTCAATAATTTGATAAAAATAGAGAAACAACAGTAAAATAATATTAATACTATTTTTAAAAAATTTTATTTTGGTAGTGCTGCAGACTGAACCTATATTTTGCATATGCTATGCAAGCACTTTACCAGTATTTTGTTTTTGAGATCGGGTCTTGCTATGTTGCATAGGCTGATCTCAAACTCCTGGATTCAAATGATTCTCCCACTTCAGCCTCCCACTGTTCCTGGCTTTATGCTCTTTCATATTTATATGGTACTTTAAAATTTACGAATTATACAACTGTGTTGATATATTTTATTATAGTACATGTAAACTAGAAAGCCTAAGAAAGATAAAAGAATGCAAAGAGTCATGAACACTGGTTAAATTTCTCATTATCAAATAGCTCAATTCTAGTTTCATTTATTTTTTGACTCAGGTCAGAAAACTAACTTTGGGGAAAAGTCCTAAGATGCAAATATTGAAATTGCAACTTGCAGGCACTGTGGAGTAGGGTCAAACACTCACAATAATTGCCACCTCCTTTGTCCTTTAGTCAGTCTGTAAGTATGGCTGAGTGTGCTTCTGAGCTCTCAGTTATGTTCCAAGTGGTAGAACTCTCTGTATTAAGCCAATTCCCCATTGTTTTATTTCTAAAGCTTATTTTACATCTTCATATCTGGTAGAGCATGTCAACTTTAATTTTTCTTCAAGATTATATGTTTTTAAAATAAATTTCACTTCTATTTGTTAAATTCCATTTTGAGATTCTGTAGGAAATCTGCTGAATTTAGACTACTTTTGGAATGATTGTCCTCTTTACATTATTTTTTCAATTCATGAATATCTTTTTGGTATTTTTTTGTTTTTTAATTATGATTTTAATTTTACAAGTCTTGCATGCTGAATATATTGGAATTATACTTTCTAATTGGTGGCTGATTGTAAAAAAAATTGCATTAATTTTTATTTCTTATTTCATCTAAACACTTTACTGAACTTGTCTTTTTTTGTTGTTTTCTTGTTTTTGGGTCAAGGTCTTGCTATGTAGTTCAAGCTGGCCTTGAACTCACAGTGATCCTCTTGCCTCAGTCTCTAAAGTGCTGGGATTACAGGTGTGTGACATCATACCTGGCTGACTCCTCTATATAAATTATAGATCCTCTTGGACTTTTTTTTTGTGTGTGTGTGTCTCTTTGAGACAGAGTCTCACTGTGCAGTTCAGGTTAGCCTTGAGCTCACTTTGTAGCCTAGGCTGGTCTCAAACTCACAGTGATCCTCCTGCCTCAGCCTCCCAAGTGCTGGGATTACAGGCATGCACCACCATGCCCGGCCTCCTCTCGGACTTTCTACGTGTGTTATTTGCATATGATTTGGTTTCTTTCTTGGGCATGCTTTCTATGCTTCAAAATGACTCAACTTTTTTTAGTATACTAATGGTGTTCTCTCTTTTCTTCTGTCCTCATATATATTTATTTACTTAAAATATGGCAGTAGAAACAGCAGATATACCACCTCAGTTTACTATTTGGTTCCAAATATGAATTTAACAATACAATTTAAAATAATACATTTAATCTTGACTTACTGGTTTTATCAGCTACTGCTAGTGCTATCCCGTAGCTATTACACCCCCTTTCTTTGATGGCAGAACAGATTTGTTTGGCTAACTATCCATATCACAGGACATGAGGGTCATGCAGTAGTACTCCAAGTCAGTCCTCCTCAGCAACTGGTTAGGGTGTACACTAGCCAGACATGTGAGGCCTTTTATTTCCCTCCCCCCATTTTGTAATAATGGTGGTGGTGATGGGGTAAGGTGGGTTGGTAAGAGAGCCTTTTTGAAAAAATTTTCTGGCTTTTGAAAAAAGAGATTCATAGGAAAGAAATGGTCTGTTTTTCCTGTAATATATAGTTTTGTTTGCACATGATAGTTATAACTATGACATGCCAAGGATTGTTGAGCAAAAAGATTAAAAGAACCCGAGCCTTGATACCAGTGCTAAAACTCTACAGTGATGATTCTTGGACCCACCTCTTATCTTAGATTGCCTCAATATCTGAGTTAAAATATTTTCTTTGATTTACTAATTTGAGCCCACCTTTTTACTTTCATTGTTGCTGAGAGCATCTTAGCTGAGATACTGAGAGAAACCTGCTTACAGACAGCCTTAAGTGGACACACATGCAAAACTCCTGCACCTACAGTGCAAGGGGAATTGGCTGCCCCACTGCTGAAACAGCAGGATCAATGGCCTAGAACCCAAAAAGGAGGCTGGATAATGTGGCTTGATAGACAACAGAGTTATCATTTTACTTGGCACTATAAATTGTTTTTGTGTACTGACACTTCTGGGAGCTTTTAACATAATTAGCCCAAAATTCTGTTTCTTCCACTTGGTGGATAATTCATTCTGTTGGGCTACTAAGGCTACTGAACTATGGTTATGCCTCCATGAGATTGAAAGGAAACACATGGCAGCAGCATTCTCCTCTCTGCATCTTTTGTTTGTTTTGAGACAGGGTCTTGTTATGTAGTTCAGGTCTGCCTTGAATGGCTATAAAGCTCAGTCAAGACCTTGACCTAGCAGCCATCCACCTGCCTCAGCCTCGTGATTGCTGGAATCATAGGCATGCACCACCATGCCCAGCTCCTCTCTGTATCTTTATCCCATGTACATCCTTTGCAGGGCTACTCTGATGATGAGCTGCTTTAGAGACAAATAGAAACAGAACAACTTTTTCATTCATTCATGAGCCTGACCTCAACTGTAAGCATGGTCTTCCACATTGAACCTTTCATTTTAGGTAGTACTTGTATTTCAGCATATAAAATGAGAAAATCAGCATACCTACACTTTTTGTATTTTTTAAATTTAGCATTTGATCACATACTTCTTGCAGTGTGATTCAACTTTCAAGTAGGTATCTTTACCTGTATCTTTAACTCTTTGTATTCCTCATAGTACCAAGGACAGCCCATTTAGTTAAAATTTAAATACAGAGAAACTATTAAGCATTTCTTATTCTTATGCTCTCTAAAAATTAACTATAAACAGTAACAAGAAGGAGTTTATCTTCAATGAATATCTCAGAACATATTATGGCTCCATCTTTTTATTTTTCTTTTCTCTTCCCTTTATTTTTCTTTGAATGCTTTATTCCACCTTAGCATTTAAAAATTATTCTTTTTTGTATTATTCTATTATTTAAGATTTCTTTTTATCTCATTTGTCTTCTCTTTCATCATTTCCCGTTTTCTAGTTGGAATGGAAGCATATTTGTAACACCTATTATAATGATAAATGTAGTTTTTAATAGCTAGTATACATAAATGCTACAATATGCCAGATATTATGCTAAGAGTTTTACTTTATTTAATCTATACAACTACTTATGAGTCAAAGGAATTATTAGACAATTCGTATGGTTAAGTAACTAGCATTCTTAGAAGGGTAAATGATTTGGTTAAAGCAGCCCTCTGTTTAGGACAGAGACTTGAAACCACAGGTAACTCTTACATTACACCATACTGTCTTTCTAATATAAGTTATCTCCTTATATCTTTTCCTCCCTGAATTATAAAGGGTCAAGGAAATTTCTGGAAGCACTTCTAAAACCCTAAAGCAATCTATATATCTGGTTGAAAAGTATAGAAGGATTAATAACAAGAAGCAACAATCTACAGCCCCACTTCACTTCCCAAAGATGACATTTTTAACCATTTATTTTTAGTGCTATCTTTTGTGTGTGTGTGTGTGCACTGGGAATTGAACTCAGGACCTTGCACTTGCCAGGCAGGCACCTGTGCCACTGAGGTACATCCCCATTAACCATTTATTTTTGTGGTCCTTGATGATTATGTCCATATCTGCTGCTTACACAATTTTAAATATTTATGCCATTATACCTACTCATTTCCTGTCACGAGAAAGATGATTTAACTCACAACTCCCAGGGCCCCCAAACTTACATTTTCCCTTTATTCTCCCAATGTAATAATAAGATCACTAGACATTAACCTTGCAAACTTTAAACAACATAAATGAACTTTATTTTCTGTTTAAACAATCATAAACAATCTTTCTTGCTACTGTATTTTGTAAATTGGGCTATGCTCCTCTTTATTAATTTAGTAATGATGTCCAATCTAAATAGCTTATATCTCTCTCTTTTCTTTTTCTTTTTGAGACAGGGTCTCGCCATGCAGTTCAGACTGGCCTTGAGCTTGCTTTGTAGCCCAGGCTGGCCTCGAACTCACAACGATCCTCCTTCCTCAGCTTCCCAAGTGCTGCAATTACAGGCGTGTGCCACCACACCCAGCCAATAGCTTGTATCTCAAAAAATGAAAATTAAATGGCTTTTAACTTGTCTCAAAGTGCACTGTTATGAGCCAGCAGTCTTTAATTGACTATAAGGGTCCCTTACCCCCATCCCAACAGACCAAAGATGAGTCTTTGAGTGTTTCATGAAGGTGCTGGGAGTGGATTTGACCTAACTGCTGTAATGATCGGCTGTCTAACCTTTGAAAACTAGGAGAGTACAGTACTCACCTGCTGTTGTCCCTGTAATCGCTGTTGTAGCTGAAGTCGAAGCTGGTTAGGTGCGGCTGGAGGTCTGTTTAGAGTCTGCCTGGGCTGCATGCCTATGCCAGGTGAAAAAGCGCCTCGGGGAGGCGTTACCTGAACAGGCATTGTTCCCAGAGAAGGCTTCTGTCTGACCATGCCTTGGAAAGGGCTGGGGAGACTGGCAGTAGGAGAGGGAGAAGAGTAAGGCTGGGGATAGAGGTTGGGTCTTTCTTCCATCATCAAAGGTGGTGTTGCTTGTTGTGGTGGGAATCTCTCTGACAGTACATCTAATCCACCCCCCTGTTAAAAAAGAAGCCAGAAGATTTTAGAAATAAATGTATGCTAATAAATTATATGCATCTCTAAATATAACTCGATCTGAGAGTGGGCAGAAAGTGTCATCATAATACATACATTCTAAATTCATGCTGTCTAGAAGTTTATCACCTAAAGGAATCATTTGTGAAACTGCTTTTGAAATGGAATAATAAATTAAATGAGATGTTTTAAATCTCAATAAAGAGATGAAAATATGGATAAAATACAGGTCTTAAATTAATAACATGAAGCTACAAGTTTGAAAAGAACTTCAGTGCAAAGCCTAAGAACTAATGAACTTTACATTAGGTTACCATGAGAAGTAGAGCCCCTCAAACAGGAAGCAATTAGGCATTTTTCTATGTCAAATACAGAAGTCATGCTTTTACCTTTCTTGAAAAAAATTCATACCTGATGTAACAGAAGGGCACAGAGTTATGGCTTTCAGTGTAACTGTTACTCACTGTAAGAAATATAGCTGAAACTGGGACCTGGTTTGCATATGTGGGTTTGTAACTGCAAGGAAAGTATCATGAAACATAACTTGCCCTTTCTACGTGCTACACACTCTGGAGCTTGTATTCGACATGTTTCTCCATTTGAAAAAGGCCAGTCCTGATGCACTAAATTGATTTTGTCACCCCACAATCTGAAAAATGCTAACCAGGAAGCTGGAAATTCATGGAATATGTAAATTGAAATCAAGTATGAACGAGAGGTAACGTACACCCTAAAATAAGAAGTGATGATATAAATTGGGATTCTATTTTAGCTGGTGTTTATAAGATTCTGTTCTACAGTGAAAACTTAAGGCTTTTAAATTTACCTATTTCTAATTCTTTTTGTTTAAAATGTTCACCTATTATATAGTTTGATAACTTTGATGGGGTAAATATAAAACAGCTAAAGCATGATAGAAACAATATTGAAAAATCTTGCAAAAACCCACTTTCTAGTGCCTCAGTGCTGTACTGTTTAAACGGCAATTTTAACAGATACCTGAACAAGTTTGTCAATTCCCAGTGCTCTGTCTAGTTCAGCAAGCTCAGTTTCATCTTTGCCACTGAGGAAAGACACGAGCTGTTCTAGAAGAGCCTTCTCATCATTTCTTCCTTCCACTGTTGTTGGTGGACAGAGCAGTTCATCTAACTGTGAACTAATACACTGGCTGCAGGATCAAAAATAGGGATGTTTCAGATGGATGAAGCAAAAATTAGTCAATCTTAAGAATGCAAATATATATAAACATACGCATGTGACATGTGCAAACCCAGTTCTAAGAAATTCTCTGTTAAGATGCTTGACAATTCGAATGCACTGAAATGTTCTATCCTTAACATGCAAAAATTAAAAGAACACTAGTATGCAGCTTGAATACATTTTTTATTCTTTGGTCAATCACTGAATTTTTTTCCATCTGTTTATGTTTATGTTAACTTATAGAAATAGCTTGGAAAATTACAGTTACAAAAGGAAAATTTTTAATAAAAGTAAAAAATAAATATCAGACAAAAATTCAGAAAAAGTCATTTAGCCTATATTTAGATTTATTCTATTTATTCAATCGATACCATTATTAATTGAACCATAATTAAACAATAGATGCTACTTTACTTTTAAAAAATGACCAAATCATTGAGAACATAACTATCATATACAAAAGAAATCAAACTGAAAAAATGAAACATGCTAGGAATTAAGCAATAAAACATACTGTTCATTTATCCATGTAGAAAATATACAGTTTAATCCACACTGATATCAACTGATGTATAAAACTTAGAAATATATAGAAAATGGTAGTAGCTGCACTAATATAACAATGTAATTGTAATGATTCGTCCTCTGGAAGGTAAATGAATCCACAGTTAAGGTGTTAAGGCTCTAACTCACAGTCCATACTATCTGTCCTCCTTTGGTTGTCATGTATGAGATATATGCTGTGCTATGGACCACAGTTGCCTGTGTGAAGTAAGAAATTAAATTCTAATCAGAATAGAGCACTGAGTACATGTAGAAAGTATTCTCCTTACCATCTTCCTCCAAAGAAAAATGCTAGGCAAAGTAATTACCTAACTAAAAATTTATGGGCAGCATAATTGTCACGCTGAGGTCAATTCATTCATTGGTCCCAGGAATATCATGGTAATCAAGGCAAAGTAATAGATGAAATAGAAAACAATAGCTGCACACCATATCCATCTGCTGGTGATTACCATATACACTACTAGCCTGTGGTCATGTAATAAATAAATCTCTTTTGATTTCATGTTTTCCCTACATCCCCCATTACTTTCCAATAAACATTTATATCACTTCCTATTTTACAAAATACCAATGCAGACTGGAATCCAACTGAGTTTGGGAAAAGTAGTTCTTGGCTTAGAGGATGTTATATGATATTTTATAAATTCAAAATGTATTACTTACTCTTCTGGTTTTGTCTGATTTACAGCTGTCGCAGCACTGTTTGCCCATGGAATCTGATCACCTGTTCCTGGTTGTCCAAACTGGTTATCAATTGTCTCCAATTCTAGCTCAGGCAATCCTGATTGAGGAAGAAAAGGTCACTGACTGTCACAATGGCGGGAAATAACAGTATTTTCAGGAGTAATACATTGCAGAGTGATATCTTCTCTATGAATACATAGTATGTAGATGCTTGAAATTCAGTTGCAACTAGAACTGTGGAACAAATTCTGTGACCAGAATTGTGGAAAGAATTAAGTTCATGAACTGAGGTACTACTTTATATCATATTTTAGTGATATAAAGGTTACTTATTCAGAAACATGAACCTTCTTGATTATGGCCATATATAATAAAAGTAAATGAGATATGAAAAGGTCTGAATCAAAGAAAAGCTGGTTAAAATTGCACATAGGTTGATGCTACCATAGGGGAAACAAGAACTTTGTCAGAAATTATTTGTTTTAGCTGGGTGTGGTGGTGCATGCCTGTAATCCCAGCACTCAGGAGGTTAAGGCAGAAGGATTGCTGTGAGTTTGAGGCCAGCTTGGGCTACCTAGTGAGTTCAAAGCCAGAATGAATTGCATAGTGAGACCCTGTCTCAAAAAAAAAAAAAAAAATTATTTGTTTTAAAGATAAAGACAATGATTTTGGTTAACTGCTTCCTTAAGCTATAGCACATAAGACTATGCTGTAAGTAGGGACGCCATCACCATGAAAGGAGATCTACAAGCAAAGAGATAAAACACATTCAAATGCGGGGTGTGGTGGTGCACGCCTATAATCCCAGCACTCTGGGAGGCTGAGGCAGGCGGACTGTTGTGAGTTCAAGACCAGCTTGGGCTACAAAGTGAGCTCAAGGCCAGCCTGAACTGCATAGTGAGACCCTGTCTCAAAAAGACCAAAAAAAAAAAAAAAACCACAACCAAAAAAAAAAACCATTCAATGAACAATGAGGTTAGATTATGTTTTGGAATGGAAGCAAACAGTATATGTATCCTTTTTTTTGTAGCTTAGAGTTTTTCTGTAGGAACTTTTTGAAAGCTTTATGATAAACTTCTGTTTGATACCCTTATTATCTCTGAAATGTTGATAGTAGAAACAATTATAAATAACTTAAATTCCAGAAATTTAGGAACTGACTAATGAATTATGTCAAAACTGTTGATAATGTGCCATTAAATAAAAAAGAAACATTCTAAGCCATTATGTTCAGGATGACTCTGTTTTTATAAACTATTTCATATACATTAATAGAATATATTCTGGGATGCTCTCTCTATCTTCTTAGTTCTTTTTAGGTAGTGACTGTAAGGACTACTTTTCTTTTTATAATGGTGTGCTGTAACTTCTAAAATGAATATATATGGGGCTGGGGATTTAGCTCAGCGGCAAAGCGCCTGCCTGGCAAGTGCAAGGTCGTGAGTTCGGTTCCCGGTACCGGAGAAAAACCAAAAAAAAAAAAAAAAAAAAAAAAAAAAAAAAAAAAGAATATATATTAATTGATCATTGTTATGGGCTAAACTGTGCCCCTCATTCATGTATGAAGTCCTAACTATTAGTGCCACAAAATATGACTGTGAAGAAAGGACCTTTATAAGAAAGGACTTTCCATTAATTTTAAATAGGTCATTATGGTGTGCTCCAATCCAATCCAATCTCTTTATAAGAAGAGATTAGGACACATAACACAGAGAGAAGGGAGCCATCTTCAACCTAATGAAAGAGCCTTCAAAAGAAACCAAATCTGCTGACTTCTTGATCTTGGACTCCTAGCCTCTAGACATTCTAGGTGAGAAAATAAACTTCTGTTTGATACCCTCAATCTGTCGTAGTTTGTTATAGCAATCCTAACTTTTTTTTAATTTTTAAAATAAAAGCTAAAAAGGCCTTGACATTTCTTTTCGTTCTTACAGTGCTAGAAACTGAAGCCCGGCTCTCTCATGCTGGCTAAGAAGTATTAAGTGCTATACCACTAATCTATATTCCCAGTCTAGGCCTCGAAAGTTTTTTTGTTTTGAGATAGGATCTTGCTATGTAGTCCTGGCTGGTCTTGAATTTTCTGTGTAGCCCAAGCAGGCCCCCTGTCTTAGCCTCCCATGTGTTGGGATTATACATGTGTGCTACCTTACCCAGTTTAGGTCTTGGAGTTTTGAGAGAAAAATTATTTAGGACATCATGCTAATAAATAAAGAATACATGGATGTAAGGATATCTGAATTATGCAAAAACATGTCATGTTTTTGTGAAATATATTCAATTTTTAGTATAAATAAAAATAGAAATCTATATGAACACATTCTATTTTAAATACAGCTTTCAATAAAACTGATCTCTATCATGGCAAATAATAGAAAAATCAAATTCTATAGGATTCTGAAAAAACAGAAGACAAAAAATTAAAAATAATGGTAACAGAAATTATTTAAGTCAAATCATATTTAAATTGGGAAGTTGGTCAAAGAAAATTACCCGAAGCAGTGCCATTGCCTTGCTCCACATATCACTCAATCCTATTCCCTTTAAGAAATATAATCTAGCCAGGCATGATGGTGCATGCCTATAACTCAGGAGGCAGAGGAAGGAGACTGCTATGAGTCTGAGGCCAGCCTAGGCTGCATAGTGAGTTTCAAGGCCAGTGGGGACTACACAGTGAGACTATCTCCAAAAAAAAGAAAAAAAATCTAGACAAAACCAACTACATGTGGGGGTCGAAGGAAATTTAAATGACTGTATATCATAAAGAGATAATAGGTATTAGAAGATAAAGTTTATTTGATAGGGCATAATATCTTATGTAACTAGCCTCGATGGAGAAATTTTAAGAAATTAAGTTAAACAAAAATTTTCAAAATACAGAAGATTGATGCACCAAATTTAATGTCTAGGCAAATATAAACAAACACAAAACAAATAATTTAATTAAAAACTTTGTATGCATATAGGCTGCATGCTTAAAAGAAATTGTATTTTATTCTGAAAGTCACTGATTTTTTTGAACTTTTTTAAACAACTGTCTTCTATAGAAAAATTTGAGGGGTGGTGGAATTGTTTAAGAAATACACAGCTTCTCTCTCTTTCCAATAAAATAAACCTACTCATGAATAAACATGTACACATGTAAGACGAGGCAAGTGTGGCCATTTTTGTTGTAGAGGACCAGCTGAGGCTTGAATAGAAAAGGCTTTCAGGAGCTGTAAACAGGACGTTAATATTTATTACCATCTTTTTTTTCCTTTTGTACTGGGGATTTAAATCAGGGTCTTCATGTGGAGCTACATCCCCAGCCCTTTTTATTTTAAAATTAATTCTATCTATTGATTGATGCATGCATGCATGCATGCATGTATCCATCCATCCAGTTAGTTAGAACTGGGGCCTTCACAATGGGCTATGTTCCCAGTTCTTTTTAAACATTTTGTGTCAGGGTCTTACTAACTTACTAAATTGTCCAGGCTGAGTTTAAACTTGCAATCCTCCTGTTTCAGCTTCTCTTGGGATTACAAGTATGCACCACCATGCTAAACTTTTTTAAATTTTGAGACAGGGTCTCACAAAGTCACTAAATTGCTCAGCCTGGGTTTGAACTTACAAGCCTTCTGCCTCAGCCTCCTAGAGTGCTGGGATTACAAGTATACACCTGGCCTTTTTTCTCTTTTTGAGATGAGGTCTTGCTGTGTTGTTCAGGCTGACCTCAAACCCCTAGACTCAAGCAATCCTCTAGTTTCAGCCCCCAGAGTAGCTAGGACTACAAACTCATGAGACTGCACTCAGATATTTGTTATCATCTTTGCAAAAAGTAAACATTGCCAGGTATGTTGGTGCACACCTGTAATCCCAGCAGGCAGGAGGACTGCCATGAGTTTGAGGCAAGCCTGGGCTACACAGTGAGTTCAAGGCCAGCCTAGGCTACATAGAGAGACCCTGTCTCAAAAAGGCAAAAAAAAGAAAAAAAAAAAAAAAGGAGTCAACATTGCTGGGGATATAGCTCAGTGGCACAGCAACTGCCTGGTAAACATGAGATCTTAAGTTCGATTCCCAGTACCAAAAAAAAAAAAAAAAAAAAAAAAAAGTCAGCATTATGCTGTCTGCCACTTAAAATCTAGCTAAAAGGGAAACTTTATAACTTTATGTTCACATTAGTCACTAAACCCAGCAAAACAATTATACTATCAAGTAATAAAAACTTTTCTGTATATGATGTAGCATATCATCTTAACCAGGAAGATAGCTTTTGCATGTTGTACAACTTGAAGAGTGATAAATGAGGGACTACACAGCAGTCACAAGAAATCACTGGAAAAAAAAGATCAACTCAATCCACAATAAAATAAATAGCTTAGAGCCAGGCGTGGTGAAGCACACCTGTAATCCCAGCACTGAGGCTGGGGCAAGAGGACTGCCCTGAGTTTGAGACCAGCCTAGGCTACAGAGTGAGTTTAAGGCCAGCCTAGAACACATAGTGAGACCCTATTTCAAAGCCTTCCTCCTTCAAATGAACAGTTTAATACTGCACTGAGGATACCTGAAAAAATTCACCAGACTGATAAAGATGAGAAAGTGCATTATTTAAAGCATTGAGAAAAGCTATAGAAATAGGAAAATTAACTGGTGTAATCTGTGAGAAGGGCCATTTGGTAATATGTTTTTCTATGCTTTGGCCCAGACATTCTATTCGAATTTGTATTTCAGATATACTTTCATAAGTGGTAAATTATCTCTACATAAGATTACTCATTATAGTTTTGTAACAGCAAAAGATGCTTATCATTGGCAACTGGTGAAGTACATTCTGGCACAGATTTAAAAAAGCACAAGTTATTAAAAAAAGAACAAAGAAGCTCTTTGTGTGCTAATATAGAATGGCATTCAAGCACAAAGGTTTAAGATACAGAGGAATGAATGTGTACACTATGACACCATTTGTATAAAAAGCAGGTAAGTCTGTGCATGTTACATTAATTTTTTGGATATAGAGAAGTAACACTGCTTCTAGGATGGAGAGACTTTCTATATCTTTTTTTGTAGGGGGAGTGGGTATGCTACGTAGCCCACGCAGTCCTCAAACTTGCACTACCT